CAAAATTAAAAATTAAAAGAAAGCAGGATGACCATAATAGAATTTATAAAAAAATTCATCTAGTATGGCCACCTAAACAGAAATGTTCTATGTTCGTACAAAAGTTTTTCAGCAAATAATAAAAATTTTCCCCAAATGATCTATGAGAGGCATGTTAGATGTTAGTTGATAGTAAGTTAACGAACTCAACTATGTTAGCAAAACAGGTGTTAGTTGTTAGTACGATGGTTCACGGTTTATGTATAACAATGTTTGGTATCTATCCAGAAAAACACGGGATAGACATTACATACATACATACATACATACAAACATACATACTAACATACATACATATATGCATACATACATACATACATACATACAAACAAACACACAGACAAGCTCACAAACGCACACGGCCATCTTATGAATGAACGCTACAAATGTCCTTGCTCACGTGACGATGACGTAGGTAGCTGCTCTTCTTACGTCACAAAATTTGCGTGTGTGCGTGTGCGGTTGTTTGCAAGTGTGTGTTTGAATATATGTACAACAATGCTAATGGGTTACCGATTGAACAAAATCATCATTATTACATTGTCATACGGTTGTATTTTTATTTATTCAGTTAATTAACAAATTAATCATTTATTAATTGATTAATTAATTAATTTATACTCGTAATTTATATTTATATTGATTTAAATGTTTATTCACGGCCGGCCCTGATGCTGTGGCTAGCGGTGGTTTTGAATGGCAGAGGAGAAAAATTACTGAATGATCGAAAATAAACCGATTGCCTAATGTCAAACGATCATCATACTTTCACCAAATTTCTCACTATTTCTCTCTCTCTCTCTTCCACTCTCTCTCTCTCTTTCTTTCTCTTTTACTCTTCAATTTTCTCAATCGTTCTCTCTCCTTTTATAATGATACCTATCCAATACGAAGAACCCATATGTAGTAATATCAAAGTACCTTAGTTTTGCAGCAGACACACACACAGACACACACACACGCACACACGAACACACACACGCACACACGAACAAACACACACACACACACACACACGAAAACACACACAAACATACGAACACACACATACACACACATACATGAATACATACACATACATACTCACGCACACACGTACGCACGAACATAGCACAGTGGACCCTGGACCAATGAGAATAACCAACGTATGTAAATATAGCTCCGCTGCTCTTCTCATCATCGTCGTCGTCGCTACAATCATCAT